GGGGCCGCTAAGGGCGCTTCGGGCAGCAGGGCAGGAAAAAAAAAGTTTAGCGAAGTTGGTGGGCCCGAGGGAGGATCGAAGTAGCTCTAACCATGTGAAGAAAGAAAACAAGAATGAGAGAAAAAAAAGGGGGCTCACTAGCAAACATTGGGATACATATAGCAAACCCTAAAAGGGCTGTACTCACTATAGAGTACCCCACTGCAGACTAGAGAAACATAATATTCTGACAGGGTCCTCGCAGCAGCGACACGGCGTAGCAAATCTTCGCCGAATCTTCCGAGACATAGTTCGCGTCAAAAAACACGTTCATGGTGAATAACCACGCCTGAATGGTAGGACCACCCTGGTGACTTGGGTCAAAGCAAGGCGGACGCTGCGGCTTCAGCGACATCGGCGATGGCAGTGCTGACTCGCCGGTCGGCACCGAAATCGTGACGCGGGGTAGCTTCTGGCTGCATTCGTCGCTCCGGGGTGTGTCATGCCGTGGTCGTCGTCTCCATCGTTGCGGGCGACGCCATCACTAGCCGCGCTTGAGAGTTGCCCCACGCTTCCATGTTGTAATGTCTGTCGTGCGGGTTGTCCGTATGTGCCTTGTGTCTATGATTGTGCTTGTTGTGCTCGTACGACGTCGTTTTGCAGGGACGTTCGTTCTGCCGTTAATGCCGCAATTTCCTCGGATTTTTCGCGCAGTTGCCGCAGCAGTTCGTTTAGGCGCTCCTGTGTGAGACTTGTGGCGTTGATATGCTCGGCCATGTCGAAGGGCGTCGGCTCAGCTTAGTTCTAGGCTCGGTCAAACGCGAGGACAGCGGCTCCTAGGTGCTAAGGGGCGTGAGTCCCTTCGAGAAAAAATCAGAAGTTGATTTCTCTGGGTGCAGAGATGCGCGGTCCGAAAAGAAGGTGGCTCTGATACCAAGTGTTACGGGTGCAATGGAACGAGATAGCGAGGATTGCACAACGTGGGTCAAAAGTACAAAGTATGAGCGAAGGCATGAGCGAATACTTATGTGCGAAACATGCAACGATTACGCGGTGCGTGCAAGCTAGCTAGTGCTAGGCTAACATCGAAGTTCGGGCTAGTCCCGAAGCGTAGGCGGACTCGGCCGGGCCAGCAGTGCATGGTTTGGTGAAACAGTGCGCGCGAAGCTGGCGAAGCCCCGTTAGCAGTAACGTGCGAACAACAACTGATGTTGTACGCGATCTTGTCGATTGCGGTAAGGAATGTCGAGTTAATTCCTTACAGAGTTGAAACAATAATATTTCATTGCTATTTCTTAACAAAAAAAAAAAAAAAAAACACTGAACAATTGATGTTGTTACGCATATTTACTGTTGATATAACCGGGAATCGCAGCGGATAGGATAAGAATTGCTAAGTTGTAGGAAGACAATGAAGTCTTGCAATGATCTTGTTAATAATAACTGAAAGAGAACAAGATGATTATATGATAAAAGTGTCAGAATATTATAATGCTTATAGTTGTGTAGGCTATAGTGGGGGTAGCCCATAAGGGGTACAACCCAATTAGGGTTAGTACTTGTACCCAACTCTTTGCTAGTTCATTCATTCTCGTTCATTCTTCTGACATGGTTTCAGAGCAGGTCCTCCGCTAGGACCGTTTTTTTTCCTTGGGCCCACCACAGCGCTACCCCGCTAGCCGCCCTCTGCAGCCCTCGAGCTGCCCCTACTCCCTGTCGCGACCCGTAGGCCCCTAGGCCCGTCGCCACTAGCCCGTCGCCTCGGCCCGTCGCCCTAGGCCAGTTGCCCCCGGCCCGTCGCTCGTAGCCCCCTAGGCCCGTTGCCCTAGGCCAGTCGCCCCGCGGCCCGTCGCCCATCGCCCCCCCCCCCCTAGGCCCGGCTCGTAGCCCCTAGGCCCCCAACCCGTCGCTCCTGGGCCCGCAGCCCGTAGCCCCTAGGCCCCCGGCCCGTCGCCCCTACGCCCCATGGCCCGCTGCCCCTAGGCCCCCGACCCGTCACTCCCGGCCCTGCAGCCCGTCGCTCCTGGCCCCGCGGCCCGTAGCCCCTAGGCCCCGACCCGTCGCTCCTGGCCCCGCGGCCCGTCGCCCCTAGGCCCCCGGCCCCCCGGCCCATCGCTCCTTGCCCCGCGGCCCGTCGCCCCTAGGCCCCGCGGCCCGTCGCCCTTAGGCCCACGGCCCGTCGCTCCCAGCCCCACGGCCCGTCGTCCCGCGGCATGTCGCTCCTGGCCCCGCGGCCCTTCCCCCCTAGCCCCGGCCCGTAGCCCCTGGCCCCGCGGCCCGTCGCCCCTAGGCCCCGACCCGTCGCCCCTAGGCTCCGGCCCGTCGCCCCTGGCCCCAACACGTCGCCCCACGGCCGCCCCTAGGCCCTCGAGCCGCCCCTCCTGCAGCCTGCTGCCTACCCTGTTCCTCGCGCTGCCCGGCCTCTACCCGCCCTACGTGCTGCACCACTATGGCTTCTCTCCACGTGCTAGCGTTCGATCATGAGGGCCGACCGATCCAGTTTGACACGTGGCTCGATGACTTGCAGCTGTACCTACTGAGCGACTCTATGGACAGTGTTTCGTTGTTTGACCACACGTCTGGCGCCGCTCCCGCCCCTCCCGCCACAGCTGACCAGTGCGACTCGGCTCACAGTGGCTTACTCGTAACGCTGCTGCTCGCCTTAGCCATTCGCAACCATCTTCCGTTTGGCCGACATGCGCTCCCTTCGGACAGCACAGGACATGCACAGGCATTTGTACGATGCTGTCGTCGCTCGTTACTCCTCACCTCGCCACTGCCTTGCTCTAGGCCGTCTTTCTACTTGCCACTACCCACACAACTGTTTCCCGAAGCTTGTCCGCCTTTGCCACAGTTCGAGGACCTAGGTTGTGCCCACCTTCGCAACTAGCCACGCTCGCTACCGTGCTGCCCTCCCCGCAGAGTTCCTTGCCAAGAACCCGGCCCCGATGTACATCACTCTCTACTTTATAGTCACCCGCCTCCCTAACTCTCTTCGCGCTGTCAGGGACCACTTTCTCGCACTCGACCCCACAGACCTCACTGTTGACCATTACTCGAGCAGCACCTCCTTGCAGCTGAGATATGTGTAGTAGCTGCAGGTGCTAACTCGTGGCACTCCCGCATGCCCTTCTTTGAGGGGTGTTCCCCCTCCCCCTTGCCCCCTCCTACGCCCCCTGCTGCTGCTGTTGACGTCCTTGGTGCTGAGGATGTCGGAGCTGTTTCCACTAGTGGGAAGCGCCCGCAGCAGCAAGGGCAAGGGGTGGCAGGGTGGTGGTGGGGTGCAGCGGGGGTGGTGGTGGGGGCAGCAGTGGTGGTGGTGGAGGCGGTGGAGGTGTTGGCAGCGGTGGGAGTGGTGGCGGGAGTGGGGGCTCTGGTGGCGGTGGTGGAGGCAGCGGTGCGGGGTGGCGGTAGTGGCAGCGGTGGGGGCGGTGGAGGTAGGACTGGAGCTCAGCGTGGAGGTTCTGGAGGAGGCCAGAGGCAGCGGCAGCAGCGTCGGAGCGAGACCCCGTCGCCCCAGCAGCTGTGAGTGGTGTTTTCAGCGTGGGGCGTCCGGGGTCGTTAGTGTGAGCTGCCCGTATTTCATTCGCACGGGTGACCGTGCTGGTCAGACATGCGGGAAGCCTCACACTCAGTATCGCTGCTTCTCCCGCCTGACGACGCTTGGCGCGCTGAGTTTTGGTGACGAGGTCGAGCGCCCCACTAGGCAGAGCTTGCTTAGGTCTGGAGTTGCGATCTTTCTGCTATGTATGCTTTGTCTGCTAGTGCTTGAGGGTGACTATTACCGTTGTGTGCCGCCTGACCCCAGGTATAGAGGCTGCTGCTCTAGGTGCTAGTGAGTCTTCTCTCCCTAGTACTCCGCCTGCTGAGGCCTTGCACACTTTCACGCTAGACTCAGGTGCCTCACGCTGTTTCTTTCGTGACAGCACCACCCTCACTCCTCTCCCTGCACCTGTCCCCGGTCAGACTGGCTGACCCCTCGGGGGCCCGGTCGTTGCCCGTTCCTCCACTGTCCTCCCGTGTCCGGCGGTGTTCGTCCGGCTCGCTGTCAAGTCTTCACCTCCCCTTGTTCTCTACGAACTTGGTGAGTAACCGCTGCCCTCCAGGACTCGATGGTCACTACCACCACTCCTTGGGGTCAGCGTGGTGTCGATCTGCACGTGTACACGGACGGGTCGTCACCTGGCCACGTTCACTCGTCGGCCAGGGTCGAGTCTGTACACACTCGCTACCGAGCCTCCCTCGGGTAGCTGCGTCTGCTCCAGGTGTCCGCGTCCAGGTCAGGTAGCACCCCCTTGCTCATGTCGCCTCCTGTCGCACCAGACTCTTCTGTGGCACCACCCGCCTTGATCACCCCTCCCGGCCACGCCTTCGTGGCATGCACTCCGCCTCCTTGTCTCTGGTCTTCCGAGGTCTCTGCCTGCCCTCCCGCCCTCACCTGCCCCGCCTTGCCTTCCTTGCGTCGAGGGGCGGCAGCGCGCCGCTCCTCCCTCCTCTCGTTTCCCCCGACGACTGCTCCCCTGCAGACTCTCCACATGGACGTGTGGGGCCCCAGCCCGCGTCAGTGGACAGGGCCGCGAGCGCTACTTTATGCTGGTTGTTGACGACTACACGCGCTACACCATTGTCTTCCCCTTGCGCAGCAAGGGTCAGGTCGTTGATGTTTGATCCCTTGGATCCGTGCAGTACGTCTCCAGCTCCGCGAAGCGGTTTGGCCAGGAACTTCCTGTCCTGCGTCTGCACTCTGACAGAGGTGGTGAGTTCTCCTCCGACCTCTTGCGGGACTTTTGTAGTGGGGAGGGCATTCTCCAGTCGTTCACGCTTCCGGACTCCCCTCAGCAAAATGGGATTGCTGAGCGCCGCATTGGCTTGGTCATGGAGGTCGCTCGTACCTCCATGATCCATGCGGCTGCTCCCCATTTTCTGTGGCCGTTTGCGGTCCGGTACGCTGCGCATCAGCTCAACCTCTCGGCCCCGTGTCTCCTTGCCGGAGACCTCGCCCACCCTGCGTTGGACGGGGGAGGTTGGCGATTCGTCGGTGTTCCGGGTCTGGGGATCTCGTGCCTTTGTTCGCGATTCGTCCGCGGACAAGCTCTCCGCCGTGCTATCCCCTGCGTCTTCCTTGGCTTTCCCCCTGACGCGCCTGGCTGGCAGTTCACAACCCCACCTCGCGCCGTGTCTTCCCATCTCAGGACGTCACGTTTGACGAGTCGGTTCCCCTTTTACGTCTCTTCCCCACGCTCTGCCCCTCCCCCACCCCCGCCGCTCTTCCTTGCTCCCCGGTCCACCTCCGGTAGACCCCCTCCCGCCCAAGGGTCCTGCTCCCTCAGGTGTGTCTCAGGTAGACCCTCTCCTTGGTATGCGCTGTCGAGGTAGCTGTCGGCTCAGGTGCTGCTCGAGGTGCTACGTCTGGGGGAGTGGAGCCTTGGGGTGCTGAGTTTGAGGGTGCCGGGTCTGGGGGTGCTGAGCTGGGGGTGCTGGGACTGAGGGTGCCGAGTCTAGGGGTGCTGAGCCTGGGGGTGTTGAGCCTGAGGGTGTTGAGCTTGGGGGTGCTGAGTCGGAGGGTGCAAAGTCTGGGGGTGCTTCGCCGGAGCCTGTCTCCGCGACGGAGACTCTCTCCTCGCAGCGCTACGTGAGTGGCTTGTTCGGCGCGCACGCCTTTGGAGTGGAGCTACCGGAGCTGGAGGCACTGGTGTCAATGGAGCTGGAGTGCTGGAGTTACTGCTGGAGCTGGTGTGGTACTGGAGGTACGCGGCTGTGGGTCCTGGAGGTGCTCGTACCAGGGGTACTGGAGCTGCCGGGACTGGTGGTGTTGGAGGCTCTAGAGCTGGAGGAGCTGGAGACCCTACAGAGCCTGGAGCTGCTAGAGCTGGAGGAGTTGGAGCTGTTCGGCCGCTGGTGCTGGAGGCACTGGCGCGGGAGGCACTGGAGCTGGAGGAGCTGGAGCTGTTGGCGCTGGTGCTGGAGGCACTCGCGCGGGAGGCGCTGGAGTTGGAGGAGCTGGAGCTGTTTGACCCTGGAGCTAGAGGTGCTGGAGGCACTACGGAGCCTGGAGCTGCTGGAGCTGGAGGAGCTGGAGCTGTTGACCCTGGAGCTGGAGGTGCTGGAGGCACTATGCGGCCGCGACCGTTACTTCGTTCCCCTGCTTCAGCAGGTTCTTAGTGTCCCGTCTTTCTACTGGCCTTCCTCCTCCCTTACTGTATCCGCCGCCTGACCAGTCGCAGCCACCTTTACAGCTGGCCTCCCCGCTCCCCTACTCCTTCTCCTTACACAGAGCAGACCGACGGTCTTACAGAGCATCGTGAGCTTGCGGTCTCGTCCTGTCTCGCTTGTTTTGCACTGCTCGCCGTGTTCCTCTGTTCGCGTCCTCCTCCTGTCCCTGGCACGCACGCTATGGCACTTCGTCCTTCCTCTGTTCCACTGCGTGTTCCTCTGCCGCTCCCCTCCTGGGTCCTCTCTTCCTGAGGTCCCCTGACGTGAGGCTGACCGCGCTCGTGCTGACAGTCCCACTGTCTCTCGTCCTCCTTGCCACTGTTGTCATTGACCCCTCTTTTAAGTCCACTGCTATGTCTGCCCTCGTTGCTGAGCTTCTTGACTTTGCTTGCTGCCTGTCGTCTAGACTACACCACTGCTCTTGTTGCTGAGTCTGCGTCTGCCAGTCCTCCGTCCGTCGGGGGGTGAGTGTGCTCTTGGCACGGACGTCCTTGAGGACAGGCAGGAGGACTTTGAGTGTCTTGTAGCTGCTTGTACCTCGTTCGCTTCCATGCTGCTTGCCCTTGAGGGAGACCCGGATGCACCAGACATCCCGACCCCGTGCCTCTTACGCAGAGGCGATTACGGGTCCTTACTCCTCTCAGTGGCAGGCAGCCATGGATGCCGAGATGGCATCCTGGAAGTCCACAGGCACCTACGTCGACGAGGTTCCTCCTCCTGGGGCGAACATAGTCGATGGCATGTGGATTTTCAGGGTGAAGTGGCCGCCGGGTTCTCCGCCTGCCTTCAAGGCGCGTTACGTTGCTCGAGGATTCAGTCAGCGATAGGGGTTGACTACTTCCAGACCTTCTCCCCCACCCCGAAGATGACCACTCTTCGGGTGCTGCTGCACGTCGCTGCTCAGCGTGACTATGAGCTGCACTCTCTTGACTTCAGTACAGCTTTCTTGCAGGGCAGCCTGCACGAGGAGATCTGGCTGCGCTGCCCACCTGGTTTCACTGGGTCGTTTCCTGCGGGTACCCAGTGGAGCCTCCGCCGGACCAGTCTACGGTCTTCACCAGGCGCTTCGCAAGTGGCACGACACACTGAGGACTACACTTGTGGCTCTTGGGTTTGCTCCTGCTACTGCTGACCCGTCGCTGTTTCTACGCACCGACACCTTGCTGCCGCCGTTCTACGTCCTCGTCTACGTTGACGACCTGGTCTTTGCCACTGCTTACACCGAGGCACTGACCCTTGTGAATTCGGAGCTGCAGAAGAGACACACCTGCACTGACCTGAGTGAACTGCGCAGCTATCTTGGCTTGTTGATCACCCAGGACAGAGCACAGCGCACCATCACCTGACTCAGTCACTCATGGTGCACCAGGTCCTTCAGCGCTTCGGCTTCCAGTTCTCCTCGCCACAGCCACTCCTCTGTCTACCGGCCACTCGCTCTCAGCTCCACCTTCAGACGAGTCCGTAGAGCCGAGTGGTCCGTACCCAGAGCTTGTGGGTTGCCTCATGTACCTGATGACGTGCACACGACCTGACCTCGTGTACCCTCTCAGCCTTCTAGCTCGTTACATGGCTCTCGGTAGGCACCGAAAGTTGCACTGGGATGTTGCGAAGAGGGTACTGCGCTTACTTGTGCAGTACGTCGGGCATGGGGCTCTTGCTTGGAGGACGGGGTCCAGTTGTCCTCACCGGTCACGCAGACGCTTCTTGGGTTGACGACCTCAGCTACGCAGCGGTCGTCACAGGGTTACACCTTCAGCCTTGGCTCCGGCTCTGTTTTCCTGGCGGTCTACCCGCTCGTCTTCGGTTCTCAGCTCCAGTTGTGAGGCTGAGATCTACGCAAGGGCCATGGCTGCACAGGAGCTACGCTGGCTCACCAACCTGCTGACTGACTTGGGAGAGCAGCCTCGTTCGCCTCCAGTTCTGTACGTAGACAACAAGACCATGATTGCCTTGTGTCAGGAGCACAGACTGGAGCACAGAAACAAAGCACATCGCTCTGCGATACTTCCTTGCTCAAGAGTTGCAGCAGCATGGCCAGCTTCGTCTTGCGTACGTGGCCACTAGGGCCAACACTGCTGATATATTCACCAAGATACTTCTGCCTGGTGATCATCAGCGTTTCTCTACTGTGTTAGGCCTTGTGCCTACTTTGCCTCACTTGCTCACTGCGTGACTTTGCTTGTGCTGTGATCGATATATATACCTGCATGCTTACACTTGCTAGGGTATGATCACTGTATTGTTTGTTCTTTTTATATAACTCTGCATGTGAACTGGCCTTGTGGCAAATTGCTTGTGCTTAGCTTGTGTGGTGAC